TATATATTGCGAGAGTAATACAAAACCCTAGATCACGCAGCGGAAGTTTGACACATGTATCATTACTTGAATAAATTTGGACTTTGGGTATAAAGTAGGTTATACGTGTGTATATAGTGTAATTGGCACTTGATTATATTCAAATTGAATAGTCTAATCCAGTGAACATACGTTTTGCACATTTTCTTTTTACTATTTTTGCGTTTTCTGCGGTCAGTTTTAGCACCACAGAAATAAGACCCGCAGACTATTTCTTCATATTTTTTTAACCTGGTACAATATGTGTAATGTTTCGTCTAAAGTAATAACGACTAACGGATTATAACGGTTAGAGGGTTTTTTTAGCGCAAGAAAACTATTGCTGTCGGCTACGTATGTAATCTGTGTTTGTACGGATTTACTAATTGTAAATTATGCTAACTTCAGAATAAAGATATTTAAACAGCATATATAGTGTTTGACGGTACGCTAAAGGTTTGTTTACCGCTAAATCGTTCAAACCGTTTTAACACTTATACTGCTGAATACTGTATTCCTAGAAAATATTTCGCGCGTTATAAGTTAGCGCTTTTCGCGGTAGGCATGAATCCGCAAATCTTTATAGCCGCGAATAAGTCACTTATAACAAATCCGCGAATATTTCTACCTTCAACCAAATATAACATAAACGTGCAGAATATTTATTATAATCTACTTGCGCAAAAAACTATATAAACACAGGTGCTATAGAAATGTGTAAAGAATTATTTATGTATATTTTTGACACTAGTTTGCACTCTGGAAAAGAAAATATCAATTATTAGTAATTATCATGCTTATTGACGTTATTCGCTAGTCACGGCGTTGACAAACGCATTTACAGTTTGCGTACATTGAATGACTTGGATTTTATTTGCTTGGAGTAGGTGTAAGCCTTTGTTAAAAGTACACTAATGCTACTTTTGATAACAGCTGTAATGTTGTTATAATTAATGATGTTATAATATGATGTACAGTCCGATACTGTGTAAAATTACGTATCGACATTTTGAAGATAAAGTCAGTTATGATTCAAATAAGAATAAAATCTAACGGGTCTGATTAAATCTTACTTAAGCACATAGTGAAAAAGGTAAGGAAATATGAAAGTGTTCACGGAACAACCGTCCGTGTTCGACTAGTCAATAGATGAAAAGGTATCGAGTAAAGGTGTCTTGTCAAAAAAAAAAAGAATTAAAAGTACCAAACAGGCAAGGTCATGCATCCATAACGTAGCCTTCAAATACTGTAATTTAGGTCGTACCAAAAACTGTGATTTAGGTCGTAGCGAATTAATATTTACGGAATTCGCGGTTACTACAAATCTGCAAAAGTTTGTATCCGCGAAAATGCAGACGTTGTGAAAAACGCGAAATATTGTATCCGCGAACATTTCTAGGAATACAGTAATCGTCGAATACTTTAATTGTCATCTGATTTACAGTTAACTTCTATCAATTTTATTAAATTAAAGATACTACCGGGTATATTTTTCACGGGCCATTTCACGCTCATCAAAAGATTTATACCTTTCTATTGTGCACATTATATTTGTTTGCAAGCAAACAATATAATTGTTTGTAATTACTATACAGTTTTGCGGTGACGACGATAAACAAATGCGAATGTGTATATGCAAATAAAATAGGGTAATGTGACTCAGACTTTGATAAGACGAGTCGCAGAATTCAAATCACGTTTTTTTCCAAAGAATGTGCCGCAGAAATAAAGTCCGCAGATATAAAAACATGCCAAAATTTGGAAAAACCGCAGAATTAGGAGCCCGCAGAAAAAAATACATATACGGTATAACATAAATGAAATTCAATGCTTATTTCATCTGGAAAAAATCAGAGTTTCTAAATAAATTAAATATAAAATACAAGGAACATATTGAAAGAAGTTGTTATCTCAAAAATATAAATAATTTTAATCTAATCGTCTTTACAATAATGACAATTATTTGAAAATATTGAAAGTGAAAGATGTGTTGCACGTTTTAAAGATTTTATATTTATGTATCAAACTGTGAATTATTTAACATGTCTTGTCGTAAAACAACACATTGTAGCACGCTCACAAAGACAGATGCATGTTAACTTAAATAAATTAAAGTTATGGCACAAGTTATAGATAGAACCAATTGATATTATATTACCTTAAGTCTTTTATGAAAAGAATATGATCAGTTTTTTTAACATAATAGTGTTAGAAAAGTTTCTGAAATTATTAAATTATTAAATATTTTCCATCGATTGCTAAAAACATTATTTGTTCGCTTAAGTACCACTGATTATTATACTAGTACACATGATAGATACAAACAAGTTTTTGCTAGAAATCTTTGCCGTTCAGAAGAGTATTCAAAAAAAATCTGTGTAATGAAAAATGAGCTAGTATCTCTTATCCACATATTGTTAAGCCCGCAGGAGTTTAAATACTGGCTGCAAGCTTTGTACATGAAGATATAAATTACATTTAAGATATAGATTACACGACAAAATGTCGAGTAATGTACCCGGTAGGCGCTCCTTTTTTATTTTATGGTATAAAATTTTCCATTCGTTCAGGATGGCTTTGCATATTTAGCATGCGGTGTCAGGTAAATGATGTGTGTAAAAAATGAACTAATTAAAGTTCATTTATTTAGGCGTATAAAGTACTTTTTAAATAAGGAAACTAGCATCCTTTTTTATAATGCATACCTTATTCGTATTTTGATTATTGTTGTAATATATAGGGGAAAGAAAACAAAAATTATATGCCGAATATACAAAATATAAACCTTAATTTGCAAAATTAGTCTAGACTACGATTAGAAAATTTATACACACATTTTAAAAAAATTGCCTTTCACGAAAAGATGTATTTTTCACACAAGTGTCCAAATATATAAAGCACTGAACCATATGTCCCCTCAATAAATCTGAGACTTACTTACCATATATTATAATCAAAAGTATAATTTAAGATCGAGATCTCACGAATATTTAATTTCGTCTTCCAAACCACGTACTAATTATTTTAATGACGTATTCAGATTTAATGCAATGGTTATTTGAAATTCTATACCACTGACTATAAGAAGGAAAACAAATAATTGTCAATATTTAAAAGCTGTTTCAAGAAATGCTTATTTAATCAACTTACGGACGGTCCGTGTGTATTATATATACATGTTCATACATTTATTTATATTATGATTATGTTTTCTAATAAGATGTGGCTGTCTTAGTTTTAAGTATTTGACTGAGTCTATGTTAATTTTGTTGTAAGTTCTTTTACATGTTAACTATTGATATAGTTAAAACTTAATAAATCATCTTCTTTAAATTGACAAAGGTTACAGTTTAGATATTGTGCATGAAACATTGTGTAGTTAAGCTCTAGGAAGATTGTTCAAATTGTAGCCCCGGGAGTCATTATTTTTCACTTTGTATATAATTAGTAAAATAATTTAAAAAATTATTGTCTGAATGTTCAAGGCTAAGAGCTTTGATATTTGGAATATGATATCATCTATAGGTACTCTACCAAAGTTGTTCAAATTTTGCCTCTAGTGAAATGTCCCCGCCCCGGGGTCATAATTTTTTCTTATATGTAAATACATGTTATACAACTTAAAAAATCATTCTCTAAATTGATAAAGGCTAGAGGTTTGATATTTTGCATAGAGAAACTCTCGCATGATTGTTCAAATCATAGCCCTGGGGTCAAAATTGGCCACGCCCGGGGGTCATTGATTTTCACTCGCTTTTTATGTACATGTAAAAAAAATAAAATCTTTTTGCCTGAAGGTACTATGCTTAGAGCTTTGATAATTTATATATAATATCATCTATAGGTCTTCTACCAAAGTTGTTTTAATTATGCCCCTAATGTTAAAATTGCCCTGCCCAGAAGCGATATTTTTCCTTATATGTATATAGTTTAAGCTTGAAAAAACTTCTTCTCTGAATTGACAAAGGTAAGATATTTGGCATGAGAACCTGAACCAAGATGTTCAAATTTTAGTCCTGGGGTCAAAAATGGCCCCTCCCCGGGGGTCATTGATTTTCACAATATATATATATATATAAATAAAACAAAAAACACAGTCCATGAGTTAACTTATATAATTATTTGCCAACCGGTTTCTCTTATGATCATAAGAGAAACCGGTTGGCAAATAATTAAGTTAACACATGGACTGTGTTTTTTGATTTATTTATATGTGACTTTTTTCCGGCACTTGTTTTCATTTTTTTGTATATATATATATACAAACAAATCTTACTGTCTGAAGGTACAAGGCTTAGAGCTTTGATGTTTGCTTTATCATATCATACATAGGTCCTCTACCAAAGTTGTTAATATTTTGCCCCTGGTGTCAAAATTGACCCTGCTTGGGGCATTGATTTTCATTATATACACTGAAAAACAGAAACTTAAACCAATGTTTTCTGAATTGGAGAAAGCTACAGCTAAGATATTTGACATGAAATGTTTGGTGGACCTGTAGCATGATTGTTTGAATGAAACCCTTGGGCCAAAATTTTGCCTTGCCCAAGGGGATGGTGACCTATTTTCTTGTCATTTGATGAACAGCCATGAAATTTGAACAACGTGCATAATTTTAAATGAAAAATTGAACTTTGATATCAGGTGAGCTAGATTTTGATGATATGACCTACTTTTTTGTCCTGTAATGTGCAGCTATTAAATTTGAACCATGTGCAAAGATTAAGATGTAAAGTGAACTTTTATTTCAGCTGGCCTAGATTTTGACAAAGTGTCTTACTGTGTTGTCCTTTGATGTACAGTCATGGAAGTTTGATTAGTATTGAAACATTTTTCACAGTTTCATAGCAGTTTAAAATTGTAACAGGAGGCTTTTCAATGAAAACGGCCATTTTTCACAATATGCTCATGAAGGAAAGGGTTAATGTTGTTTTTCCTTGGATTGTTACACATTGTGGCTAAAAATATTTCTTCTTTTCTAGAAATCAAGATGACGCATGAAATACATTTAAAGAACAACAAATACCGGCAGTGGGTTAAGGCTGGCCTAGGCTTGGGTTATCTTCAAGAGGGACTTGCGCCATTTTGTGATGACATAGGAAGACAGCAGCACAAAGATATTATAAACAAAATACAACAAACAAAGACTCCTAAACCAAACGTACCATGTGGCGTCTGTCAGATAACAACTCTCCAGCCAGATCATGTCCGAGTCTCAAAAGGGATATGTCCCCTCAAACAAGATAAATGTAACTGTTGCTTTCCAAGTAATAAGATACCCTGTCCAAACAACGTATGTGGTGCCATCTATGACAGCATTATACAGAATCATGCATCAATACCACCGGCACCTTTTTGGAAAAACAGTGATGTCCAACAGCGGACATCAGACCCATGGAGCTTGTGCAAATGTTTTATAAATGCTCCTGGGTACAAGGACAAGACATCAGCAGTTGACACTGACTGTACAGGGTTGCTTCATGTTATCATAAACAACAGATATTTTCATAGTCATATTGGATGCAAAGTTACGGGACCAAACACTCTTTTTTCAAAGGTAAATACAATAAAATTGTGTTTACTATAAGTATGTTTACTCTCAATTTTGTAGAGTATTACTGTAAGATTTAACCTGTTAATTGAGTATGAAAGTCAAAGAGATTATTGTCACTTTAGTGCAGTTATTGGTTAACTCTTATTGAATTTTTATAGGAGTTTACCAATTACCGCACTAAGGTGAAATCATATCCATATAACTATGAGGTTAATGCAGGTTTTTGCCAGAGAAACAATTTGAAACAAATGAATAATGGTTCAAAATTGTTATGCATAAAATCTTATTCTCAAACATATTTCAGCAATACAATCTTTTGGCTAGCTGCCATTTTTGTGGGTGGGAAACAATAACTATGTTTATTTTAAGCCTCACTGTAAAATGTACAGAGGTAGGTTATTTGTGCTTTATAAGTAAATGCAACACGTATTACTTCAGTAAAATAATTATAAAATGTATCAAAAGCCATTTCTATTCCATTCTCTTTTTATATAATCTGCGGTTTAAACACAATAATAATAACGATTATTATGTTAAGTATTTTAAAGAAACTCCTTTATTACAGTTTTAATTCTCAACTTAAGAATTGTATTTAGTCCCATTGCTGAACACTGTATTTATGTGAATATTGTATTATTTTTTTATGAAAAAATTTAGGTTTGGTTTTTGGGAATTTTGAAATGAAATTTTTCCCCTCAAAAACAGTAAAGGAGTTAGAGGGAGAAGGGGGAAAAGGGAATTATACATTGGGCGATATGAAAAACTGTTCTAAAAAAAGATGGTAAAAAACTTGGTAAATCGGGGGAAAAAATGTACAAAAAAAAGCTTTTTGGGAAAAATTTTTAAGATGTAAAATTTTACATTTTAAATTTTTATTTATTTTAAATTTTTAAAAACCCTTTAAAAGGGGTTTTAAAATTAAACATAACTTGAAATAAGCAAAATTTTTTCTAAAATTTAAGAAATTAAATGGAAAAAAAATGCTTTAAAGGGTTTTTCCTTTTATTTTAAACAAAATTTTAAATTTAAAAAACTGGGCCCTTTAAATTTTAAATTATTTTTTAAAGAAATCAAATTTTAAAATTTAAAATGTAAATATAAAGGGAATTTCAGATCTAAGCTTGTTAGTAACAGGTAAGAAAAACAAATGTGAAGAAAATAGAGAATTCTGGCAATCAAATGACAATACCACACATCCTGCCTTAAAAGCAGATTTTTGAAGCTCTCAGAAAAATTATGAAAATTAAAATAAAAAACCAATTGTGGTAATTTTAATATAAAGTTTGACCTTATATATAGTTTGTTGTATAGAAGAGTGAGTACACGTATTATAAATCATATTATATGATACTTTTTTATATGTTATACATTTAATCAGAAAAGCTACTGCTGATTTTATTCTTTCACAGTAAAGATGCAATTCATTTTTTTTGTTTTATTTCTGCATTATACATGTAGCTACATTTTTATCACTAAACGAAAATGGAACATTTTTTTATAAGCTAAAGCAAAAAGACTTCGTTATTACTACTGAATGCTCTGAAGAAATTTTAAAACAAATCAAAGATGAAATGACAAAAATGCGGGAATTTACCGAAAATGCTGCAACTAAAGAGGAATATGAGGAGCTCAAAAATAAATTAATTGAACTTGAAAGACAGTTGACAAAAGAAAAAGAGGAACAACTTGAGGCTAGGAAAGAACAGAAAAGAAAGTTTACTGAACTTGAGGCAGTTATAACAGAGCAAAAACAGGTAAAAAATGTATTTCTTTTGTTTGTTTCAAGTTGATATACCAGTACATGTATTCCAATACAACCACGTCCGATCGTCTGTGCGTCCCCACTTCATTTGTGTCCGGACTGTAACTTTGTCATACATTGAGGGATTTTAAAATAACTTGGCACAAATGTCTACCACATCAAGACAATGTGTCGTGTTCAAAAAGGTGTCATCTTTTTCCCCCGGGGGGGGAAAATTTTTTCCAAATTTTATTTTATAAAAAGTTTTAAAAAATTATAACACTGTTATTTAAACCATTTAGAGTTTTAAAAAAAAAAATAAAATTTCTGATTTTTATTGACAAAAAAAGCTTTGATAAAAAATTTCCCCAAAAATGTTTGGAAAAATTTTTTCAAAATTTTTTAAGCACATATTACTTTTCTTTTCCCCTTGGGGCCCCCCGGGAATAAAATTTAATTTGTGAAATGTTTTCTGTGGTAAATTTGTTTAAAAGAAAACAAAAATACCTTGACTGTAACTGATTTTAATTGCTGATTTTTTTAAAATTTTTAATGTTTATTTTTAAAGAGGGCAAAAAAATTCCCAAAAAGTGGAAAGGGGTAAAACACAAAACTCAGTAAAAGGTTTTTAGGGTGTTGTATTGTTCTAAATTCGATTATATTCGATTATACATGTTACACCCTATTTAATTAAACTGATTTGCAATACGCCTTAAAACTGTTTTGGGAAATACGGTTTCTTTCCTCACATTTATATATTTTTTGTTATTGATTGCTTTGACATTTGTTGAAAATCACGAGGCGGCTTTCAACTAAAAACACAAACATTTGACAAGTAGGAAGCACTTTAGAATATGTCTGGCAGTAAAATCCGTGTTTTACATTTAAAAGTGGTTGTTTGATGAAAAGATTAATTATCATGTGCTGTAGCCGATAGTGTTTGAGGCCAAAAAGGTCCCTTTAAAATTACATTAAATATATATAGGAAAAATATCTTTTGTTGGGCGGGGGGGTACATTTTGTCGCGTAAGGACAAAATTTGGTTTAACACATGTGGTCGCATGAAAGCAAGTTTTAAAAAGACTTCATTTTGGCTGATCAAGGCTTCAATTGGCAAGTTTTTCCATAAAACTTTAAATGTTTCAAATGTAGCAACTCAAAGACCTGACTGCAAATAAGAACTTGAAATAAAACCGGGGTGTCGGGAATTTGGCGGCTCATATGGCATGTTTGCCCACCAAATAGGGACTGATTTAAATCTAATAGTTGTTAGCGGGCTGTTCAGCATTATCCGGGTTGCTTTTCAACCAAAAAGGGGAATCTTGGTTTACCGTTCTCTGTCAATCTTTATGTAATCCGGTACATTTGGAGAAAGGGGCCTTTTTTCTATGTCAAGGGTTGAAAGATTGCATATTTTTCTCAAGTCTTTAAACCCGGACCATTAAAGTTTGTGATTAAAAACTTCATTAATGGGTGGGGTAGAATTTTCAAGGGAGTCGTTTTCCAAAAATAGGTTTAAATTAAGGCTGACGGGCAACTGCCAGTCCCATACCAACAATCGAAAGGTCGTTAAATTGAATTTTTTCTTTTACTTGGGAAAAGATGGGGTATATAACCCCCTTGGGTCCCATATTTCCTCGTTTATCGTCAAACTTTTTCTATGGGAAAACCCCGTTTTTTTTCCCTTTTTTTGTATTATTCTGCGTATTTTCTTTTTAAGATACTTTTGGGGCTCGGCGAGGGGGTTTAATCAAAGGGTTTTTGGTTTTTTTCTTTTTTGGGGGTTGTGTAATTTGTCCGGGGGAGGGGTTCCCTTATTTTCCCCTTTCCCTGGGGGGTTTGGGTTTAAATTTTACCCTCTGTAAACTTTACCAAAAGTTTTTTTTTGGGTTTTTCTTTTAATGTGGGCCAGTATAAAACGCTTTTTGGGGGGGGTTTATTTTTCCTTTGGGGGCTCAAAATTTTCCAAAAACTGTCAAAATTTTGTTTTCTTTTATTACATTTATAAAATAAAAAAACTTTTGATTCCTTGGTCCATGCGGGTTGGGGAACCGGGGAAAAGGGGGGCCCGGGAAGTTTTCCAAAAAATAGAAATAAAATTTTCTGTAGGACCATTTTCCCCGGAAAACGTTTTTTTTGTTTTTTTTTGGGTATTCCAGTTTTTTGGGGCAGGGTTCCCTCCCAATTTAAAGGAATTTTTTTCCAAAAATGTTTTTCATTTATGGGCTGGGGTGTGCTAATTTTTTAATTTTTTTAGGTTTGGGGTAAAAAGGACTCACGGGGCTGGGGGAATTTTTGCCCTTGTGGGGGCGGGGGATTGTGGGGGCATCATAACTTTTCCCGGGGAAAATTTTTTTCACCTGCATCGGGTCAAGGTTTAGATATATGGTCGTAGTGGTTTTTAAAAAGTCCCTTTTCTTCGTGAATTTTTCCAAAAAAGCTGCCAAACTTTTTGGCAAAATGCTTTTCCAACCCCTGGGTGGGAACCCTTTTAAACTTTTGGGGTTAGTTTTTCAGAAATAAAGGATCGCTGTGCCCCTTCATCAAAAAGAATGTTTGCCTGCGCGAACTGTGTCTCAGAACATACTTGAGCGACAGCTGTTTTTAATAAAACGTCTGGTCGGGTTTCGGATCTTGAGTGTAAAACTGTTGCCTGTATTTGAGTGGAGGTATCACTTCCGGTTGGAGGTAGGTTTGTCGGGCAAGTATTTATTTTCGGCCTTGAATCTGGACAATTTTCACATATACTAGTATGGTGTTTTCTTTTACATTTCAAGCATCTGAAGTGTGATCGGCAGTTAATTACTTGGTGATTTTTCAAACAATTAAAACATAAATGCTTCTTTCTTATTATGTCCTTTTTAACCCTCACATCAATTAACTTTGTGCAATCCGTTAGCATGGTGATTTTCATTGCAGTAAATTACAATTTCCCTCTGATCAAAAAAAGCGTTTTGTGCATCCGTCTGTGTATCACGTGACTTCCGGCTTCCGGTTTCCGTCTAGCGCCCGTGAAAAAAACGACGCTGTAGTTCTAATAACCAGCTAAATCATCTGTAGTCTGTCCGGCCTCCATGATATTTCAGTTCACGATATAACGCTTTTCGTTAAACTTTCTAATGACCACTTATCGCTTTGCCATTTTCTCGTGCTAAACTCTTGCGAATTTCTGCCGGAAGTTTGTCTATAATGACTGGTACTAAAAGAGTTTCCGTACGTAATTTTGACACTGGGACCTAGCGATTCCAATCCGCGAATATAAGCTTCTAATTTTGTCGAAAAGTTTTTCCCCATTAAATGTGTAGGGGTATTCTCGGGGGTGGGGAGGTTTAGTAACCGCCCGTTAAAATAGGGATGAATGATTTTATGAAATCTGTCCAAAACCTTTTCCCCTTTAGTAAATCGACTTTCTTTTAATGTAATTTGCAAAGGTAAATTTCCCTTTGGAAAAAAACTTTAGCCGCACTGTCTTTCTTTGTTTTGGGCTTCAAAAAAATTAAAATTTTTGTTTCTTCTTTTAAGATTTTGGGTTTTTAAAGAACAGAGGAAAACAAAAACATCCCAAAACTTTGCCATTTTGGAAAAATGTCACCCCCTAAAATTCAGGTGCGATTAAAATTTCCCGGAGGGCTCTGATTTAAAACGGGCGTATTTGAAAGAAATGGGACTTTAAAAATTTTGCAAAGGGGAAACCCGTTTCCATTAATTTACGTAATTATTTTTCGATTGGAAGAACCACCCTTCTGTCCTCCATCTGGATTTTGCGGGTTAAAGTTGCTTTTGCTAACTAGGGGCTTGAAGTTCTCTCACCTTTTTTTCCAGCGTCAATCCATTATTCTTCACTGCTTATTATTTCCTCCTCGATATTTTCCGTTACTTTCCGTCAATTGTATAATTCTTTTCGGTTTTAAGGAATTAATTTTGCTCTGCTTTCCACTGATTATGGCTTCAAAAGAATTGCGTTAAATCCTTATCAGTTGAATGAGTTATTCTTTCGCTCTTCAATTCCGTTTCAAGCTTTAATTTTCGATTACATCTTCGCTGTCCCTTCCTCTGACTGATCGGCAAAATTTATTCTATCTTCATGTTTTAGTTCCACGGCACCAATGTCGGATTAGGGTATTATACTACGATTAATAATGTACAAACACGTTGTGTCTGGTTTATACGTCTATTCAAAAACTACTTAACGTTATACTACAAAACATAGGACAAGTGACGTTACTCTTTTAAGCGGTCAGCGCATACGGTTTGGCGTCATTTATCGGCACATGCAATATGAGCGCAATTCCCGAGCAGGGGTGTATCAATGGGGTAAAGGTAGCATAAATAAAAATGGACTATAGACTCTTAATAAAAGTAAGCAATTTCAAGGCCATCCTGGCCCTCTTGTTTAGATATACATTGTATTGGGACACTGTTAATGAGAGTAAAAATATCAATATTACTATATACAATAGATATTTACTATATAAAACACAATTATTTCTATTATTATTTATATTGTAGGAGATAGAAAGACTCAAGGTAGAAGATTCTCCTCAACAAAAACAGTTAAAATATGAAAAGGCGAAATCAGGTATGTTATATAGAAAATGAAAAGGTATGTGTAATTGAATATGAAAGGGTGAAATCAGGTACTTTATATAGAATATGAAAAGGTTAAATCAGGTATGTTGTACAGAATTTGAAAAGGCTAGATCAGGTATGTGATAATAAAAAGGCTTTATCAAGTATGTTATATACAATATAAAAAGGCTAAATCCGGTATGTTATATAAAATATAAAACGAATTAATCAGGTATGTTATATTATAAATATGAAAAAACTTAATCAGGAATGTTAAAGATGTTAAATATTATATGAAAAAGGCTAAAGAAAGTATGTTATTGTGTCGCCTCTACTGAGTAGTGGCGACATATAGGGATCATTTTTCCGTCGTCTGTCTGTCCGTCTGTCCTTCCGTCACAAAACTTGTCTGGACTACTCCTCATAAACTACTGGTGCAATTTCATCTAAACTTTACAGGAAGTGTAGTTGTGCATATTGTCAGCATTTTCCGGTTCAATGATTTTTGTCAGAGTTATGACCCTTTAATAATTTTTATTTTTAAAGTTTGTCCGGACTACTTCTCTTATACCACTAATGCAATATTAAATGAAACTTTACAGGATTGATCTGTAGCTCAAGTCCTTGCGCATATTGCACAGGTTTTCTGGTTGAATGATTTTTAGCCGAGTTATGGCACTTTGATATAAAGGTGTTTTTTTCTGTGTCGATGTCGGCGTCGGCGTCGTCGTCGGCGTCCCCTAAAGCTTGTCTGGAGCATAACTCAGTCACTATAAGTCTGATTGACTTCAAACTTGGTATGCATACTTCTTTCAATAACCCAAAGTGCAGTGCACAAAGACCGGTACTCTGCAGTTCTTTTTTTGAGTTTTTGCCATTTGTTAATTTTCATACTTTAATTTTGTTTTAATTTAATTTCTCTTCAACTAAAAAGCTATGGACTTGAAACTTCATAGGATGATAGATCTCATTAAGAAAAAGTGCAGTGCACAAGAATAGGTACTCTGCATTTCTTAATTTTTGAGTTATGGCCCTTTGTTAATTAAGTTATGGACTTGGAACTTCATAGGATGATAGATCTCATTAAGAAAAAGTGCAGTGCATAAGAACTGATACTCTGCATTTCTTATTTTTTGAGTTATTGCCCTTTGTTGATTTTCTTACTTTATTTTTGTCCTGGTCATTTCTCCTCAAGTATGAAAGCTATGGACTTGAAACATCATAGAATGATAGATCTTATTGATAAGAAGTGCAGTGCACAGAAACTGCTGATCTGCACTTATTATTTTTTTAGTTATTTGCCCTTTGTTATTTTTCATATTTCATTTTAGTCCTGGCCATTTCTCCTCAACTAAATTTTTCACAAGGCGACACATCCGACTTGCAGAGTTCTAGTTGCCAGAGTTATGGCCCTTTAATAATTTTTATTTTTAAAGTTTGTCCGGAATACCCCTCTTATACCACTAATTCAAATACAATGAATCTTTACAGGATTGATCTGTAGCTCAAATCCTTGCGCATATTGCACGGGTTTTCCGGTTGAAGATTTTTAGCCGAGTTAAGGCCCTTTGATATAAAGGTGTTTTTTCTGTGTGTTGCCAGATACACCAAAGCTGTTCCAGACTACTCCTCTTATACTACGGGTGTAATTTCATCCATACGTTACAGGAATGTTCAGTACCAAGTCTAGTTGTGCACTGTCCGTCTGTCTGTCCGTCTGTCACAAAACTTGTCCCAACATGAAATTGGCCATCAGGAGGCGACACATGTGATCACTGATCGCTCTTTTATAATAAATTAAAAGACTAAATTAGGTATTTTATGCAGGATTTTTAAAGGCTAAATCAGGTATGTTATATACTGCAGTCTGCGAAATAAAGCACACTTGCATACATACACGGGAAAATCCCATTTGGGCCCGCAAAAATCCAAAGCAAAAATGTTTTTAATTTGGAATGTGTCTTCATACAAAATGAGTTTCAATTTTCAATTCTCTTGAAATTATTAAGACTCGAATATAAACTTTGTGGTTGTGTTACTAATAGGCTTATGCATTTAATGAATGCAATGCTTTTCTTTGATGATATTTGTTTTCATATTTTAAACAAAGTAGAAATCATTAGATTGACAAGTAAAGTTAAGTATATATAAACAGAAAAAGATAATTTTATTTAAAAACTGGCTGACTGATATTCCTTGCATGTGTGCCTAAATATAACTGTTGTCTTTTATTTTGCACAATACGTGTTTTGGGTCTGTGATAATCTGTCCATGCAGGTCCATACTAATTTTCTGTATCATTAACTCATTGATTTGTCCTTAACAATTGGATTTCTTATTATCATTATCATTACAGAATGGCGGAAAAATCTGATAGAACAGTATCACAAAACCCTGCTGCAAGTTCCTACATCACCTTTACAACCAAAAAGTGAAAAATGTACCTTTAATGAGATTTATATTAGACCCAAAATAACGAGGAAAATAAAAGGAGAAAAGGGGGAGACAAAGGAGGTGGAGGTTGAAACAATGTCAGAAATCTTCACAAAGAACGGAGTCCCCCAAAAATCTGTATATGTTCTAGGAGATGCAGGGTCAGGAAAAACTAGTTTTTGTAAATATCTGGTCAACTGTTGGTGTTTGGCACACAATGAGGAACATGGAGCTGGCAATGAAAATGAAGATGGCAATGGTAAAACTGAAGGCAACAGTGAAAAACATGGAGGTGACGGTAAAAAACATGGAGCTTGCAATGAAAATGAAGATGGCAGTAGTAAACTTGAAGGTGACAGTGAAAAACATGAAGGTGACGATGAAAATCAAGGAGGTGTCAATGAAAATGAATGTGGCACTGAGGAACAAGGAAGTGATAATGAAGGAAATAAAACACATGGAGCTGGAGGTGTCGATGAATTTGAAGATGGCAAAGAGATACACAGAGGTGATTTTGAAGAACATGAAAAAATGGGAAGTGACATTGTAAATGAAGAGGTAAAGGGGATACATAATGCAGACATTGAAAACGAAGAGTGCAGTAAGACACATCAATGTGTTAATGAGAAAGGAGGAGATGAAAAACATGTGGGTGGCATTAAGGAAAATGGAAGTGACAGTGATGACATTCAGGATAACAATTTAATACACTCCGAATCCCACAATGAGGACTCTGATGATATCTTAAATGACTCCGAATCCGATAGTGACGACTCTGATACTGACTTAACAGACTCTGCTATCGACAGTGATGCCTCTAAATATGATAGCAAAAATTATGAACTAAAATTTAATGGTGTAAAAGAGATGAAGAAATTTGATTTTGTATTTTACATCTCTCTTAGACAGTATCGAAATATTGACACTATAGATGATATGCTTTATAAACGTTATCAAATGAAAATGTTAGATACATTTCTTGAAAAAGAATCCTCTAGAGTTATAATTTTGCTTGATGGCTTGGATGAATGGTCCTCTGAAAATGTCCCAGAACATAGCATCTTTAAGGAATACACTATAGTAACTACCTCACGACCATGGAAATTTCATACATTAACATCAAGCGATGAAGAGATGGAACAATCACTGAAACTGAAAGGGTTTGATTTTAGATGTGAAACGGAAATGGTAGATAGGACTGTTTTACAATTAAATGTTAGCAGACATGCTAATAAAGAACCTAGAGATTGTAGGAAAAAGCTGAATGAAAAGTCTCTGAAAAGTTTAAAACAGGTACCAATTATGCTTCAACAACTGATATGTCTATGGTTTGATGGTAAACTAGATAAAACGTCAAGATGTGCCATCTACACTGGCATGTTAGAATTATTCTTTACATGGAATGACATGAAAACTACAGGAACAAGTACTCGACTCATAAAGGGTACACAGAAAGTAAACCTCCCTCATTATTTATCTGGAAGAACCAAATTAAGATTAAACAACCATTTCATTTACGAAGTGTCAAAATTGGCTTATGAGACACTTTTTAATTGTCCGAAGGATAAATCCTTGACATTTGACATTTGTATGTTTGTTGAACTAGATATATCAGATGAAGTAAGAGAAAATTGCCTGAAACTTGGAATAATTTCAGAAGATGAATGTCCAAGTTTATCTGTATCAGAACCACCAAGCTCATTGTTCTCTTTTATTCACAAATCAATGCAAGAATTTCTGGCTGCAGTGTATATTGGCATCAATTTCAATGCAAAAATGTATTCATCAGATAGTACTGGAAATGATGAATTAGCCAAGAAGTTTATTTATGAGGTATTTCAGAAATGTTCAACAGTAAATGACATATTAGAGCAGTCAAATGTTATCATTATGCTATCTGGTCTAGAACCAAGATTAGCAACTCATGTTTCAAAATACATATATGATACTGTGTCAGAAGACTCTCGTGTTCAGGAATACAGGAGAACAATAAGAAGTAACATTTGTAGGGATCATAGATGTATTACTGATATTCAAAAGCTTATGTTTGAGTCAATGGGACAATTAAATGCAGCATGTAGTATGGGAAATAATCCTGTATTTTATATAGGAGATTTGTTAATTGGTAAAAGTGTGGATTGTGATATTGTTTGTACAGGTATTGATCAGAAACAAATTGTTCCTGACTCAGTTCTGTCTATTCGTGTAGTTAACATCGACACACGAAATTTTAAATTTACAAAATATTTACCAATGTTTCATCGTCTTGAAAAAATTGCAATAATACATAAAAGAAAATTACCAAAGTTAGAAAGTGATAAACAGAGGATTGATGAGATAAACTATAATGTTTGTGAGACAATTAAAGTAAACACTTTAACATTAAAATCTCTATCTGTTGATGAACCTGACACTGACGAGTATTACCAAGTGTGTACAACAGTTGTTAGTATCCTACCTAATATGATCAATCTTGTAGCACTATGTATGAGTAGTGTAACAATAAGTCATGATGATACTACTACATTTTGTAATTTTCTTCTGAGAACCAGTCATTTTGAGCAAATACATCTTTCTAATGTTAAATGTGAGTGTATGAAGCAGCATGACGTAAATTTATCAAAACATCAACAACTTCAGTACCTTCATTTGTATAATACTGTTAGTGTGACAGATGCTGATACTACAAACCTTCAAATATTTATCTTCGGTGAATTGAAAGATAGTAATTATGGGAAAATATTTGATATTATTAAAAAATCTTACAAATTAAAAGAACTTTTATTGTATGGAGATTATAACAATAAATCTCAATTATATCATACCAACATAACAAAGAGACTAGTCTCAGTATTACCATTGTTACACAATCTCAGTAAACTTGAGTTATTGCGGTGTAGGTTAACTGACAATATAATACAGTTTCCTTTAGAGATGAAGAGTGTAAAGTACATTGAGCTTTATTCTGTCTTAATGAGTTGGACAACATGGCAGAAGTTTGTTGATAGTCTTCCTCACATTCCTCATACTGTAGATGTGTATGTAGGGCGCTGTTATATATCAGGAGATGGTGAGGAGTTTGATGATCATAAGTATAGAATGAGATTACCACGACGAGTTATAGTATGGAAGGAATATGATGCAAACCAGTATGTAATAGATAAGAATCAGTTATTTCATGTTAAACGTGATAATGCTTATTGGTTTGTCTTTTCAACAAAAAAGTGATATAGGATACATGTATTTAATATTGTGGTTAAAGTAAATTATTGCATGTTCAAAGACATAAATTTGGATAATTTTTTTTTTCATTTTCACAAAAAAAACAGAGGATACATGCCTTTAAATTTTCAACAACAAAAAAGAGATAAAGTATCCATGTAGTTACAATAATTGAACTCAATTGTTGCCTATTATTTCAACAAAAAAAAATATTCGAAATTTGATCAGAGAGGGTACATGCATTTAACTTTTCATAAAGTAATCATTTAGTTACATAGTGTTTGAAATTAATGTTTTTTTTTACCTATTTTACAAAAAAAAATGTTTGAATTTTTAACATAGTGAGATAGAATGCATGCACTTAACATAGTGTTCAGACTAAAAACTTTCATGTCTCAAACAGTAAATTTGTTTTGTTTTAATATTTTAATTAAAAAAGTGATCTTAATATAATAGTAAACAATCATCATAAACAGTCCATTAAATACTAATCTCTGGTCAATGTAACAAAATGTATTTATTATATTGAAATTGAAGAAAATAATATTCAAATTGTGTTAATAAATAAATAAATGAAAGAAATGCAGTTAAATATTATAAATATATTGATCTTAATAAAGGTAAAGGTTTTTTTAAAGATCAGTTATATATTTTGAAAGAAATGTAACTGATTTGAAAAAAAGTAATGTCCAAAAAATAAAAACATAAATAAATATGTAAATAAAAAAGTAAATAAATTAATGTATTAGTAAATTTATTGGAAATATCATACCACAGATGTTTATTGTACAAGGTCAGACGAAGTAAAAGATTAATACATGTATATAACATTCAAATATCATAATGTACAAGGTCAGAAAAAGTAAAAAATTATTATAACATTCAAATACCAGTTATATGATGTAATATATGATAGGATAAGGGAATGGTATATGATGAATATGTCAAGGGAATGGTATATATCAATACAAGTTATATGATGTAGGAAAAGTGAATGGTTATATATTAATACCACTTATATGATGTATAGGATAAGTGAATGGTAAGTATAAATACCAGTTATATGATATATAGAACAACATGTAGAACAAGGGAATGGATTATATAAATACCATATATATGATATAGGACAGGGGGGCAGTATATATGATGACAGGGGAATGGTATATATTATTACCAATGATATGATATATAGGGTTATAATTATGCTAACAGCTATTATAGAGGAATAGTAAATGGTATATATGAATACCTGTTAGATGATATATAGGACATATTTTATATATGAATACGTGTTAGATGATATATAAGACATATTTTATATATGAATACGTGTTAGATGATATATAGAACATATTTTATATATGAATACCTGTTAGATGATATATAGGACAACTAAATTGTATACATAATTGTTTTATTCATTGAGGTGAGGACCATTTACATGTTATATTTTAGAGATTCCTTCTTTGATTGTTTTATATTGTTAAGATTGAAAAAGTGATAAATATTACAATTATGCAAAACGATAAAAGTTTACAAATTAATACTGTTAGTCAGTATTACTCTAATTCATGTGTAATTGTAAAGTTAAAGGGACTCCACTGATGACTTTTGACATGTTCAGAAATATATTGTCCTGATTTTTTGACATGATAGGATGGGGGTTTTATTTCTGTAACTGTTGAATTAGATTTTTTTAATGAAACAATTTAGTACCAAGACATTATAACATTACAGGTATACATAAGTTATATTTCTGCTGATGTTAACATAACTATGATATGTTAGTTTACATGTATTGTAAAATATATATTACATGAAATTACTCAAAAGTTATGTTGTAATCTTGTGTCTAAAAATGCATCCTGGGTAACCAATGCATTCTTGTTATGTAAACACTTCATTTGTGATGAATGTAGTTCAGCCAAATCAGAAGCCATGGGTTCGGACAATGCTAAAATAAAGATTTAACACTTTTAGAAAGTAATGATATAACTACATCTTATTAACGGTATGTTTTGTGCAGCCGAAAGAAAAAACTTTAAATATCTTCTTTTAAAAAACCCTAAAAGCTAGAGCTTAGATATTTGGCATGAAACATCTTCTAGTGAGTGTCTACCAAGTTTGTTCAAATAAAAGCCCTGGGGTCAAAATTGGCCCCGCCCCAGGGGGTTATTTATTTTCCCTATATGCATATAGTAAAAACTTAAAAAATCTTCTTTTAAAGAACCCAAAGAGTTAGAGCTAAGATATTTAGCATGAAACATTTTCTAATGAGTGTCTACCAAGTTTGTTCAAATAAAAGCCCTGGGGTTAAAATTGGCCCCGCCCAAGGGGGTCATTGATTTTCCCTAAATGCATAAAGTAAAAACTTAAAAATCTTCTTTTGAAGAACTCAAAGAGCTAGAGCTAAGATATTTAGCATCAAACATGTTTTAATAGGTGTCTACAAAGTTTGTTCAAATAAAAGCCCTGGGGTCAAAATTGGCCCCGCCCCGGGGGTCATTGATTTTCCTTATATGTGTTTAGCAAAAACTTAAAAAATCTTCTTTGAAAAAAACCCAAATAGCTAGAGTTTAGATATTAAGCATGAAACATTTTCTAGTGAGTGTCTACAAAGTTTGTTCAAATAAAAGACCTGGGGTCAAAATTGGCCCCGCCATGGGGTCATTGATTTTCCTTATATGTGTATAGCAAGAACTTAAAATCTTCTTTGAAAAAACCCAAATAGCTAGAATTAAGATATTAAGCATGAAACATCTTCTAGTAAGTGTCTACAAAGTTTGTTCAAATAAAAGCCCTGGGGTCAAAACTGGCCCCGCCCCAGGGGTGTCATTGTTTTTAACTATATGTGTATAGTAAAAACTTAAAAAAACTTCTTTTAAAAAGCCCAATGAGCTAGAGCTTAGATGATTAGCATGAAACATCTTCTTATGGGTGTCTACCATGTTTGTTCAAATAAAAGCCCTGGGGTCAAAATTGGCCCCGCCCAAGGGGGTCATTGATTTTCCCTATATGCATATAGTAAAAACTTAAAAATCTTCTTTTGAAGAACTCAAAGAGCTAGAGCTAAGATATTTAGCATCAAACATGTTCTAATAGGTGTCTACAAAGTTTGTTCAAATAAAAGCCCTGGGGTCAAAATTGGCCCCGCCCGGGGGTCATTGATTCCTTATATGTGTTTAGCAAAAACTTAAAAAATCTTCTTTGAAAAAAACCCAAATAGCTAGAGTTTAGATATTCAGCATGAAACATCTTCTAGTGAGTGTCTACAAAGTTTGTTCAAATAAAAGACCTGGGGTCAAAATTGGCCCCGCCATGGGGGTCATTGATTTTCCTTATATGTGTATAGCAAGAACTTAAAATCTTCTTTGAAAAAACCCAAATAGCTAGAGTTAAGATATTAAGCATGAAACATCTTCTAGTAAGTGTCTACAAAGTTTGTTCAAATAAAAGCCCTGGGGTCAAACCTGGCCCCGCCCCAGGGGTGTCATTGTTTTTAACTATATGTGTATAGTAAAAACTTAAAAAAACTTCTTTTAAAAAGCCCAATGAGCTAGAGCTTAGATGATTAGCATGAAACATCTTCTTATGGGTGTCTACCATGTTTGTTCAAATAAAAGCCCTGGGGTCAAAATTGGCCCAGCCCCAGGGGGTCATTGATTTTCCCTATATGCATATAGTTAAAACTTAAAAAATCTTCTTTTAAAGAACTCAAAGAGCTAGGGCTCAGAAATTTAGCATCAAACATGTTCTAATAGGTGTCTACCAAGTTTGTTCAAATAAAAGCCCTGGGGTCAAAATTGGCCCCGCCCCGGGGGTCATTGATTTTGCTTATATGTGTATAGCAAAAACTTAAAAAATCTTCTTTGAAAAAAACCAAATAGCTAGAGTTTAGATATTAAGCATGAAACATCTTCTAGTGAGTGTCTACAAAGTTCGTTCAAATAAAAGCGCCGGGGTCAAAATTGGACCCGCCCAGGGGGTCATTGATTTTCCTTATATGTGTAAAAGAAAAACTTAAAATCTTCTTTGAAAAAACCCAAATAGCTAGAGTTTAGATATTAAGCATGAAACATCTTCTAGTAAGTGTCTACAAAGTTTGTTCAAATAAAAGCCCTGGGGTCAAAACTGGCCCCGCCCCAGGGGTGTCATTGTTTTTAATTATATGTGTTTAGTAAAAACTTTTTTTAAAAAGCCCAATGAGCTAGAGCTTAGATGTTTAGCATGAAACATCTTCTTATGGGTGCGGGGGGTGCTATATACAGGTGAGCGACCTCAGGGCCATCATGGCCCTCTTGTTATACTTGCTGATGTTATTATACACCAATATTAAGATATGTTATATATAAACATATGTTACACTTGTCTGTTTGTTACATGAAATTCTGATTGAATGTGTTTGTTACATGAAATTCTGAGTGAATGTGTTTGTTACATGAAATTCTGATTGAATGTGTTTCTTACATGAAATTCTGATTGAATGTGTTTGTTACATGAAATTCTGATTGAATGTGTTTGTTACATGAAATTCTGATTAAATGTGTTTCTTACATGAAATTCTGATTGAATGTGTTTCTTACATGAAATTCTGATTGAATGTGTTTCTTACATGAAATTCTGATTGAATGTGTTTCTTACATGAAATTCTGATTGAATGTATATAGTACATAATGTAAACATATTATTTCATGTTAATAAATGTTTGTTGTATAGTTACATGCTATTGCAATCCTTTGATGAAAGTAAGATAATATTATTTTATATAAAGAAAGGTTTTGTGACATGTGACTATACGTACAATTTAAACTGTTATACCCGTTTGCTGTAAAGGCCCATTAAGCCTTAAAAAATGCACTCCCTTTTATTTTTCAAAAGCTTAATTGTTTTCTGTTCAAAGAGGTTTTCATTGTCCATATAGCACAGCCATCCTTTGTTTGTTTTGCATTTATTCATGTTTGATTTTAAGGCCCATTAAGCTTAAAAAATGCCGTATATTATTTTTCAAAAGTTTATATTTTTGGCGTCCTTAACTTTTTTCATTGGCCATATATCTAAGCCAACTTGTGTTTCTTTTGCATTTTAGCAACCAGTACAAGTATGGTGAATAAGTATTATATATGGAAGTCAAATTACATTTTTTTTTTTACATTTTGCATCTCTATTAACAATCTCAATTTTTTGGCAGGTGATAAGAATAGCACTTTTTCTAAATATATTATTACAACATTAGAAAACACAAATGTGCCTTTAAACTTTAAATGTATATGTAGAGTAAATTCATCTGGTATATAAGTAAACATATAATTACATGAAGATGTTATTACATAATTCTTAACTAGATATATGAATGTTTATGTTTATTTTATGCTTAGATTTGTTATGTCTTATGAACGCCTGCATCAAACATGTTTGTTTTGGCTTGGAATATAGATTTTATAATTCTAGTATATTTGTAAACATACAATTTACATGTACTAATAACAAATCTATTTTGGCCATATTTATGCTTGATCAATTCTATATGAAGTTAAGATAAGTTCATGCTGTAATATGTTATGTCAATTGTACATTATATATTAACTATGTCTGTTAAATGCATATTGTATGATTAAATCCATCTAGTACATTTGTAAACCTTAAATTACATTTACTTGATAACACATATATTTTGGCCATGTTTATGCTTAAACAATTCTATATGAAGTTAAGATAAGTTCATGCTGTAATATGTTATGTCAATTATACAGTTTATATTAACTATGTGTGTTTACTGAATATTGTATGATTATATCCATCTCGTACATTTGTAAACCTTTAATTGCATATACTTGGTAACTTATATATTTATTGTTTTGGCAAGGTTTATGCTAAAACAATACTACCGTATATGAAGTTAAGATAAGATCATGCTGGAATATGTCAATTAT